GGTATAAGTAAACTACAACTCTACAAGCATTTTGTACATTCGATGGCTGAACAGAGACATACAGTATAATGACATTGTAAACACCAATGCTTACGGCCCAAATTCACAATCAAATTGTTTTTAACCGCCTTACTTTGTCGACCATCATATGTGATTGTCCTGTGTGCCTGGGAACGATGAGCAACACAGTCAGTGACAAATGCTATCTGATCCCAACTACGGCTGCTGAGAACAAGCTTCACTGCTAGTGGATGTCTAAATTTTAAAATAAAATTCTTTTACTATAGGTGTCCGTCAATTTTTTGTGTTATATACATCGCAGAAATCCTGACTCTCTTCTTGGCTAGTTTTTTCCTAAAGGTCTATTAAGAGCTTATCTCAGACTCATCAGACTTGCCCACGTGATAGATCTGCCAGTAGCCGCATGTACGCTGTGGCGTACCTACTTTTACATATTTCTGATACTTACACGTGAATCATATCTCCAATTAATTCCACAGTAGGAGCAACAACATCGTCGTATTTCGAGAGCGAGGGATAACTGTCAAGCAATCCGAAATTTACCAAACCAGGATTCCTGAAAGAAGACAGAACTTTTGTCATAAAAATTAAAACGCAACATAAAATTCTAAACCAAGGAATTATACTTTTTCAATCACTGCCTGATGTCTTAAAAGACTTACCCTCAAGAAAACCTTTACTGAATAAACAATAAATATATTATCTCAACTTCCAAAAAGACAAAAATTCATAATACCCCTGGACTTAGCCAATGGGAAGTCAGGGAGTGCCAATTTTATAATCAAATCCGACTTTTGTGCCTTACCAGACCAAAATTATATTATTTGCTTCTTTGTGGCCTCTTGGACCATCTATGCTCACCCAAATAATCGTATCGTATTATCGTGTACGCTCTGGCTTTACCTGTGATGAAACTTTGAAACGTTGTATAAATGCGTTATATGACACGGTTGTGTTTTACTGACGGATAGGGCATCTACGATTTCCTGCTCGTCTGCTTGACGGTCATGGCCTAACGATGGAACAACGCCTCTAAAAATAGGAAGAAAGATTGATAATTATATATTAGAAAAAAGGTTGCGACGCCGCCGTCTTACATACATGTGCCCTAATATCAATTACGTTGCTCTTATGTTGTTTTACAAACGTTGGTTCAACAGCAGCTAAGAGATGTCGAATCAACCTTCAATCATGGGTGATTATACGACCTCAACTTGTGAAGTAGTCTCAACGTTGTTTCAACGCGGATTCAACGTTGAATTATGATTGACGAAATTGGCGACCTAATCTCAACGTTCTTTCAACGTCAAAAGAGTAACGTCGTTCAATCCTTTTTCAACATCCATCCAACATCTGGGAGATCATTTCCGACGTTAATTCAACGTTGAATAAACGTCGTTTTGCCCGCTGAGTAGTTTGTTCAATTAAATCTCGAGTGTAAATCTTGTACACTTATTAGAGCTAGTCAAGAGCAGATTGCTCTGCAGATTCATATTTGCATTTTTCGCAACTGCTATCAGGCTGAACAAGCCATTAATGATACTCAAATGCTTTTTGTGTTCATCAGCGCAGGAATAGTAATAGTACAGTAATTGTTTTCTTCTAATTTTGAAACTCACCTGTCATGCAGCATCTTAATTACTTGGTAGTTCGTCTTGGATGCGACATGAGGACTGACAGTCATCACTTTCAATCCTGGCATTGCATCCAGTAGATTGCCAAATTCTGTTGCACCAATTTCTGAGGAGTTTCTAGGCAAGCCTCCAAAATCACATATTAATGGTCCCTGGAAGAAAATATTAATTTTTTATAGCTGTATTACTTGTTTTATACTATTATCTAATAATTCCCAAATTTTAAGATTCCCGAGTATTATAACTATGCTTACTGGAGGCAAGCTGAATAGTACCGCAAAATATAGATGGAACCTTTTCTCTAAAATTGATTATTTTATATGTACTGAGAATATGTCAAATTTCACTAGTATGTGTAATATGTTAGGCATACTGACTTATTGGTATTGACATACTGACTTATTAGACAATACAACATTTTAGTATTGTAGTTGTTTGTAGATTTTGTATAATGGTAAATTTACAGTTACAACTTTTAAAAGTCGCTTTTGACGTTGTTTGAATTGTCTAGAATCTTTCACGAGGACAGACAGTACCCCAATGGCTAATTGCACACGAATAAGCGTTGGCCAGATTTATCTTTTGCAAAATATATTTTGACATTTACCTCAGCATGGATACCTTCCACGACAGCCCCAATGCCTTTAACTCCAACTCTTTTATCAATAGTATTCAACAATGACAGAGTTTCTTCATTTTTCCCTTCTGGGAAGACAACACTTGCTAGTATTGACGTCGTGCCGGTAGCCACAGCTTTTGCACAAGTGTGGTCTAAAAAGAAGTAAAATGAAGGGAATAGTGTCCATAGATGGCGCTGTGATCAGTGCACTAGTGTGCCTTTCACTGATCTGCGATCATGATTCGATTCCTGCAATTTTCAGTTGTTGCCTTGCTTGAGTTGCATGTGAGAATAGTGCTTTTAGTTTGAAACTTCACCAAGCCGTTGTCTGCTTTATAGAGACCTTACG